CGCATATAGCTCTAACATGACACCGCAGCACTTATAACCTGAGCCATGCTCAACGGCAAGCAAGTCTAAGGTGGGTGTGTGCCTTTAGCACAGTCACCGCTATGACATGTACCTTTAGTACAATGACCGGGTACAAGTGGTGTCAACCGCCAACAATTCATTTCCACCAATCACAATCTCATCATCATCATCATCATCATTCACACCAGCCATTGCGCAATGACCACGATACTCATCATCATTCAATCAATTAACACATAATCAAATAACAATCAAGACACAACAACAACGACACATATTACACATAAATTCCTAGAACGATACTTAAGACACCAAATGAGAATCATACACGACAAACGAGGTACAACGGGACACAACGAAACACGAGGAAACAACAAACGGGGGGAAAACATCACGAACCTTGACCAATTTCCAGCGGGTAGGTGGCGGGTGGGTGCCGGCGGGCATACCACCGCCCGCTGGCTACCCGCTGGAACGGTGACACGGGCAACGAGTAGGTGGCGGGTGGTCAGTCCCCCCACCTACCCCCCACTGATACACAGGCAACTTTCGACCCGGGATCACTCGTGGAACCCGAAATCATGTCCAGACACATTCAAACACATAACGACAACACCACGTACACAATTAACGGAAACAAACCAAGAATCATGCAACATACGTTCTAACACGATTCCTAAACATGCAAAGACTCAACATAAATCATATAACTGTTCAAGAGCATCCGGAACCACAGGAACATCAAGAATTCTATATGCAAAGTCTTAAACACAAGTCCTAGGCTAGACTCAATACCCGATCATGCATAATCCCACCAAAACATACCAAGAACATCATAATACGAAATTCATGATATAAACCCTAGGGCTCTAGACATAATCAAGATACAAGATCATTCATATAATCAATCACAATATCAAGAACATCAAGATTATCACATAAACACAATATAAACCCTAGGCAAAGCTCTATAAAGACTCAAACACAGAATCACATATCAAAGGAGCCAATGAATAAGATATAGCAAGGAAAATAGGTTTTGTCGAGACATGGGTTACCTCTTAGCCCTAATCAATATCCTTGGCTACTAGGGTTCTTCTTCTAAGATTTCCCTCCAGTGGATTCCTCTACGTTTGGTGGCAGGGGATCCCTTTGTAGGTTTCCCTTCGGGAATATCTTGTGTGGTAGAATTAATTGTGGTAAGGTTTCTAAATGCTTCCTAAGTCCTTATTTATAGATTCAGGAGTCTCAACTAAGGTCTGAATGGTAAGGGTCCACTTATCCTATTCCTTATAGGATTAAGGATTTGGTTAAAGATAAGGGTCCATGGTCCATTGTGGGCCACGCTAATTAATTGATAAATAGTTATGCTGTGCAACCGAATGTACCATGCGCATGGTGCATACGGTTCAAAACGACGTCGTTTTGATTAAAAACGCGCGTCCCACTTTAAAAAAAAAAAATCAGGTTCGACTCTCAGCAATAGCATTATTGTGGATATATAATTATGAAATTGTGGATATATAGTTATGAAATTGTGGTTATATAGTTATGAATTTATGGATATTTAGTTCATTCATTGTGGATATTTAGTTCAATCATATATTGTGGATATTTAGTTCATTCATTGTGGATTTTTACTTCATTCATTCATTCATTGTGGATTTTTACTTCATTCATTCACTGTGGATATATAGTTATGAAATTGTGGATATATAGTTATGAAATTGTGGTTATATAGTTATGAATTTATGGATATTTAGTTCATTCATTGTGGATATTTAGTTCAATCATATATTGTGGATATTTAGTTCATTCATTGTGGATTTTTACTTCATTCATTCATTCATTGTGGATTTTTACTTCATTCATTCATTCATTGTGGATTTTTACTTCATTCATTCACTGTGGATATATAGTTATGAAATTGTGGATATATAGTTATGAAATTGTGGTTATATAGTTATGAACTTCTGGATATATAAAAATGCTATTGCCGGGAATCGAACCTGATTTCTTCTTTAAGTGGGACGCGCGTTTTTTTAACCAAAACGGCGCCGTTTTGCAACCGTATGCACCTTGCAAGGTGCATTCGGTTGCACAGCATAATTTGCGTTAATTGATGGGGATTCTAGTCTAATTAAATCATTCATAATTATATGATAACGGGATTAATTAAATAATTAATCTGGATATGGAGGCCGTAACACGGGGTGTTACATTAGTCACTGTGTTCGACGGTGAAAACCCGGGTATACCCAAAAAAAAAAATACAAAAAATTTTAACTATGTATCTGATTGGAAATCTTTTTGATAAACAATGTGTTATGGTGTGAGAGACAAACTTTATATTTGTAAGACTTTTCCTTGATATCATGGAATGTAATTTGCATTGACCTGAACTTTCTTAAGTCAAAGATTACATCAAACGTGAGAATAATTTTCACATGAAAGTTCAAACTTTCGTGACTACCAAACACCCTCTTAGTTTTTTCCTAGAAATTGCCACTCAAAATCTTCGGATGTACTGCTTTTGTCCATATCTATGATCATAAAAGAACAAAACATGATCCCAAATCTCTTAAATGCATCTTCGGTGGTTACCTAGGTAATCTGAGTCATCTTAAGGGGGAAAATGCATCCCAAATCTCTTCAGGTCATCTTTGATTACCTAGGTAATCTGAGTCTGGTAATATTATATTACCTTGTTTGGTTCAAGTTATGAGATTACCTGGTAATGTTATATTATCTGAAAGCTGATGTGGCGGTAATGTTTCAAGGTAATATGATTACCCCCATTTTCTTTAAGTAATCTTAGATTACCTTGAACTATTCCAACTTTGCCCTTGTAAACTAATCCTTATCCATATAATAATAATAATAATAATAATAATAATAATAATAATAATGATAATAATAATATATTTATACTATAAAATATACATGTGTATATTTATATATTTAGTTTTTAATTAATATTTGAACATTGATATACATTCATACATATAAACAAATAAAATAAATACACACATAAATAATATATATTATTTATATTATTTTTTAATGTGTGTGTGTGTATATATATATATATATATATATATATATATATATATATATATATATATATATATATTATTGAAGACATTATTTTAAATTGATTCATATAACTTAAAATATAACCCTTAAGCAAACACATTAATATTATATTCCACAATTCAAACCAAACATATAAGGTAATCTTACATTCCGATAATCTCACATTACCTTCTTGGAGGTAATCCTATTACCTTGGGTAGTCTAAGATTCCGTGAACCAAACGCCTCAAAACTTGCAAAGGGGTACAAAAGAGAAAATTTCAATTTTGGCCCACTGACTATTGGAGTTGTGTTAATTGCAACACTTGACTTTCAAAAATGTTAATTTAGTACCTTGACTATGCAATTTCTATCAATTTTGGTCACGCTAGCCAAATTGCCGACGAATTGTGACCGAAAAATCTTAACTCATTAAATAAAAAGGGGCAAAAGCGTCATTTCATGTTATTCAAACCTTCTTTGGGCTTCTCTTTTCTCCAACCTCCTTCTCCTCTTCACCGCCGCCGCCTTCGCGAAGAGCAGTTTCCAGAAATCGAAATTCCATCGCCGCCGGGCACATATCAAACATTCTCAACCCCATAGAGCCATGCAAAGCGAAGAATCATGTGGAAAAACATCATATCAATTCACCCACCATATATCCATTTCTGATCTCCGGCCATGGCATTAGATACAGATACATGTAATAGGAAGCGCACAAGGTGGGAAAAACTCAAAATGAAATGGGAAGATAAGAAGCGGGGAGAAGTTTGTGAACACCTGCTGCTGCTACAAAAGTTCACAGAGGACAGCGAAAATCCAAGAGAAAATGGAAGTGATGATGATTATGCTGAGTCTATATTGTCCGAAGCTATTAAACTTGCAAAGCATTTGAAAAGCTACTGCAGACAAGATCCAGATCCAGAGGGACCAAACAATAATCAGAGTCATGAACGAACACGATGTTGAAAATCCGGTTTCAGCAGAGGAACTGATCGGCCACCCAAACACACCGGACAATAATAATAATAATAATGCTGATGAAGATCATTGTTCGGAGGAGGAGGATTCAAACTTGCAGCAGAATTGCAGAAAGTAATTAAAGATGAAAAATCACCTCAAAATGTCGTCTGCTAACGACCCCATTCCCTGTACACCCAGTTACTCACTCTCCGATATTCCCAACTTCCACCCAGCGGCGAAGCTCACCAAGAACTGACGTCCACGCGCATCATCATCACCATTGTCGCCTCCTCCAAGCTCCCATCCAAAAACGATGACCACCTATCAACTCCTCCACCTAATACGCATGTCCAAGCTCACCCCGTCTGCCACTGTGTTCTCCATCTCGTGCCAAGCTTCAGCTACGTCGTTCACCGTGACTCCACAGACGGAATCGACTTTCAGATGCCGAGGTCCAATGAAGCCATGACTCTAATGAAGCCCAGGTCAAAAGTGCAAATGTCGTGACTCCATTGACGGAATCGACTTAAACCGTGACTGACTGTACCTGCGTTTCCAGGAGAAGAAGCAAAGGAGAAAGAAAATGATGAGCTTGTGATCTCGAGATCATTGCGGACTCCTTTGCGAAGGCGCCGTCAGTGAAGACAAGAAGGAGAACGGAGGAGCGAGAGGGATGTCGGAGAAGAGGAGTACGAAATAACATGAAATGAGTTTTCAAAAAAAAAAAAAAACATGAAATGACATTTTTGCCCCTATTATTTAATGAGTTAAAATTTTCCGGTGACATTTGACTGATAATTTGATCGGCGTGACCAAAATTGATAAAAATTGCTTAGTCAAGGTACTAAATTAATATTTTTAAAAGTCAAGTATTGCAATTAACACAACTCCAATAGTCAGTGGACCAAAATTGAAATTTTCTCGAGTACAAAACTCCCCAGCTATAAAACGAGTTTATTATACATTGAATGTCACTTGGAAGCTGTTTATCATATTCTACATCGAAACTGTTTATCGTATTCTAAGACACCTCAAAATGACACCATAGATTGCACAACATGACGACCGAGATCTAGAACTACACAAATTCTAGTTGGGATGGAGAGTTGACTAATAGACCACATAGCTGCTGATCATTTACATAATCAATTTCATTCAGTCTCACACAACACAACATAACATCTGCTCTGGCAATTCTTCAGATTTGTTACCCTGTTTCATTTCATTCACAACACCAGAAGGCGAAGAATGACAGAAACAATGGTTTCAATTGCAAAGAATGAACATAAAAGCTAAGCTTGCCTGAATTGTGAGCCCAAAATCCAAGATGCAAAGCTTTAGCCTATCTAAAAATGCTTCAAATCCCTTCCTAGAGATTTAACTGAATCTGTGCATATCTATTATCTAAATCGATCTCGAATTAGCTTTCTCCCTGCACAAAAAATGATCAAATTAAACACCGTAATAAGAATCGAATCAGTCATAGCATTCCTTGTATTAGTAACTATCACCACTCTAGTTTCCTCAAAAATTTAAAATTGAAAACAGGAAAGCTTAAAATATCTGAAGGGAATAGACAATCTTCGATGTGTACAAAAAGAAGCTAAAAATAGATGTACAAATGAACATCACTTTGAGCTGGAATACAAATTCTACAGTTACTTGGAATACAAAATAGATGCAAAGGTACCTCAAAATGACACCAAGTCTTGGATTGTGCGCCGTTGAGTGTCTTAATAGTTATCTTATCAGCAGCTGAGGCCGCCGTTATATGATGCATATTAAGATATTTTGAACTAAAGCAACGAGTGAAAATAGAAATCTGAGTTTATTAACTCATTTAAAATGGCATTATAATTCCATTCTTCCCCTGTGAAGGACAGTTTCAACTTGAATTTGGAGGGGTGGAGCTGAAGGATCCTCTCTACTCGAAAACTTAAGAAATGGCAATATTTATGTACATATACATATTTTAAGAATTATACACTGGTTTTTTAGGATCAAAGTAACACTGCAGCTCCTCCCAGTTTGCAGGGATACTATTTTCCCAACAAAAGGAAATGAAAGGGAAAAAAGTGCCAGCATAAAAATATATAATACTCCGTATATATTTATAGAACATTGAGAGCCAATCAACATTAGTGTACATCTACTAACAATTTATTTTCAAAATGATGATGAATTAGTTGAAGCTTGAAAATGACGGTGGATGAACATAACTGCCTACTTGGTGCTTTAACTGTAGATTAAGAGTGCTTAAGCAAATAATACTTGCAATGAACTTCAAGAAAAAGAAAAAAAAAATGCAGCAGCTTATGAACTATTATGTTGTTAAAAGATAGATGCTGAGACCCAAACTTGTGGAAGCCCTGAAATGGGAGTGAAATCCCTGAAAACATTCCTCCAAAAGTATCAAATCATGAACAAGTAGAGAAGCTAAAAGATTCCAAATATGTAGTTACTTTACATGATTCGCTGCAAATTTCTGTACCACCTTTAGTACTGTCTCATCTCCAGTTTTAAGTGCAAGTAAGTCGTTTATGAAGAACAATGTGCGCTCATTTGGAGAAATACCCTTACCAACCATTTCCTCCAAAAGTAGATTTGCCTCATGCCATTTTTTTTCTCTAACAAATTCTTGCAAAATAACATTATAAGTCTCAGTATTTTGTAAGCAATCATTCTTCTCCATTTTCCTTAACAACTCTAAGGCTTCATCTATTAATCCTTCTCGACAAAGCCCACTTATCATTGCAGTGTATGTATATACATTTGGGTGTCGCCCTTTAGAGATGAGGTCATTGAATACATCGCACGCAATATTAAGCTGTCCTATCTTGCAGACCCTATCAATTATGATGGCACCATAAACATGAGAATAATTTCCGCTTCTATCATCTAACTGATGATAGACTGTCATTGCCTCTTCAACATGTCCATTATCACACAAACCACTAAGTAAGACACATGAAGTGTAAAAATCTGGTTTATGTCCAGCAACCAGCATCTCCTGAAAAAGTTCCAGTGCAGCAGAACATCTACCCACCAGAAATAACCCCTGCAACATTATGGTATACGTAACAACATCAAGATGAAGCCCTTTTTTAGGAATTTCACAAAATAGATGCATGGCCTCATCCACTTCTTTTATTTTACAGTATCCATTAATTAATGTGTTATAGGTCCAAACATCAGGTTGAAGGCCACTTTCTACCATCTGACCAAAAGCATTCCTCGCTTCATCCATTTCTTTTATTTTACAGTATCCATTAATTAATGTGGTATAGGTCCAAACATTATGTTGAAGGCCACTTTCTACCACCCGACCAAAAGCTTTCCTCGCTTCATCCATCCGTCCTTGCAAGCAGTACCCCTCAATAAGATGGTTGTATGTGACGACATTAGGATAAGTGTTCCTTTGAATCATGATCTGAATGATAGTTTCCGCACTTTCCAACATCCCCTCCTTACAGAGGGCATCTATTAATATACTGAAAATATGGACATCTGGATATACATGATGTAGCACCATCTCATTCATTAACTTGGTAACCTCTTTCCATCGGCAAAAATTGCAAAGGCCTTGAATCAGTGAAGTATATGTGATGATGTCCGGGGGAACTCCTCTTTCAATCATCTCAGAGAGAAGGCCAAGAGCCTGATCAACCATTCTGTCTTTGCATAGAGAATCAATTACAGTGTTATAGGCTCTAGTATCAGGCATAGGTCCCTCCTTTTGCATTACTACAAGTAAGTCAAGAGCAATTTGTGTATGACCTGCCTTGCAAAGCCCATTTATAAGAGTAGCATAAGTAATTTGATTAACTTCGCACACATTTTCCCTCACCAACTTCTTGAATAGCCCTACAGCCTCTGCAATCTTATTAACCAGAACGAGGCCCTTAATCAGAGTGGTGAATGTGACCACATGAAACTCAAATCCACACTTGAAGACCACACCAAGTACACAAAACCCGCAATCTACTCGACTTGAGCGGCAGCACACATCCATCAGAATGTTAATGGTATACACACTGATTGGGATGCCCTTGATGCGCATTTCTTGAAAGAGGGAAACAACTACAGAATAATTCTTCAATTTCCGAATTCTACAAAGCAGTCTGTTGAACTGACTAACAGAAGGAAAGGGGCGGGTATGAGCCATTTGATGGAATAAATTGAGGGCATCGTCTAAATCATTAAAGCTGTTTCTGAATTTGGATTGATTCGAAGAAACCAAGCTATTATGATTTGTAGAAACCGTTTGTGGGCGAGAAGGAACCGTACCTGCCTCCGCCGCAATATTGGCCGAAGTGGGAGTAGAGCTTGCTGTCCTTATTCTCCTCCAACTCATGTTAGTGTAGAACGAAGACAAAGCATTTCTCTTTGTTCTCATTTTCAAGAATGCAATGGAAGTTGAGGTCCTAGACATACAAAAGTTAGAAATCCATTGTAAAGATAAACTCCACAGTTACACTTCATGTGCTGATGTAAAGCTACTAACAAATAAAATAATGTTGAAAACTAGGTGAGGTATTATTATTGCAATAATAGATCAGAAACAGCAAATTAGTGAATGAAAAGGAGGAAATTCCAAATTGCCTGCTTCACATCTACGCCATCCCCCAATTTGTTGCCACCAAAACTCCTGCAGAATTAGTAATCATCTACGGAAATCGGCGCTGAATTTGCGCCGACCGGACGAAATTCTTCGGTGAGAATAAAAGTGATGCCTCCCTCTTCAGAAATCAGAATCGCCCTCTATTTATATCATTTTCAGATACAATAATTAACAAACTCCTCTCCTCAACGTATGCATCAAAAATCTGTTGAATTTACTCAAGAAACTCTGCGAACTCCATACAACTTTGTTCAGGAAGAATTCTCCCTCTCTTCTTGCTACCTGATACTTTTTAGGGTAAGTGGACAATAACAAAAATATGAAGCTTTTAAAAAATGGATCAGAACTCAGAAAAAATTTATTTCTTATTAGAAACAAGTACAAATAAGTTTTTTTTAATTTTTATTAAAATACAAGAAAGATATATGGGACATACGAGAAACGGCAATGATTGAGCGAAAAATATTGAAAAGAAAACTAATTATTAAAATGAATAAAAGTATGAACATCAATTAATCAAAAATTGCAAATAAATTATAAAAAGTTTATTTAATTAATAACAAAAATAATTTTCATTAGAGTACAACTACATGGTGGAAGAAGGAGAAAAGGAGTTAGAGGAGAAGCACACACAATGCAAGAAACAAGTCATCCACTAGGTTGGTGGGTGGTAAGAAACCAATTAACCATTGAAGAATTAAAGCTTCATTGTAACGGTTGATCATGGTCTGTCTTGATTAATATTATAGTTTAAAAATAAAATACACCATTTCTGTTTTAATTTATGAAATTCTTGTGCTGGCATAGTAAGTTCGTAGGAAAATGTTTGAGGTCCGATCTTAACCGAATCTCAAGTCTTAACAAAAATGGTCAATATCCTACCTCATCCAAACTCAGTGGGAGGTTAGACTTTGCCCATCCAATGGAAGTAGTGGTCACTTGGCTACAAGAACACTGAAAGTCTTATCTACAGATTCACTATTGCGCACAACTCTAGTAGGATCATAGGGTTCGACCCTACGGAATCCAACGAGTATTGGATCCTTCACTAAAAAACACTTAGGGGTTTACTCGGTTGGATCAATGACGCACATATACCCAAGTCCAAATCATGGCAATTTGAGTTAGAATTCTATAATTTGCCTTGGTGTAAACTATAAAAGGTTTGAAAAGAAAATCAAAGAGGTAGGAGAGTGGGGTCGAGCGGTGCCCAAGTCCTAGGCTCGGACTCTTGACCTTATGCGTACAATAATAAATAAATAAATAAATAAAAGCACCAGGATCTTTCTTGGCCACCTTAATGGCGGGGTCCTCGTTGTCTGCTATTATCATATGCCTAACAAGAGACACGAGGCTTAGAAACAAGTTCGTGGGTTCATGAAATTTTATGATCAAAATGGATAGCTTTGGCTGTTTTTCAAGTTGACCCCATCACACTCACATCTAGGAGGTAAGGGGGTTGGGATGGTTACCACTATTATTACTTCCTAGTTGATTTCATTGTGCTCGTAGCTCATGAATAAAGGTTAATGTCGAGATAATATGATAAGTTAGACCGGCCTGAAACACTTTTAATATAACCCATCAAGAAAATTAAGACAGTCAAATAGTAAAGGCTAAAAACTAAGTAGAGTAGGTGAAACAATTGCACTAGGACTCAGAGCCAATACACTCATTAGAACACCAACTCGTTAAGGAGCAACAAGGGCAGTTATAAAGGAGAGACACAATTATTAGAAGACCGTTATACATATTAGTGTAACCATTATATTTTGTAGCTATGGTCCAGTATAAAAGTCATGCCCTTTTGATAGGCTGGGGATACTCAATATGATCTTGTACTCAAAATGATTAGGCAATACAACCTATATCTATTTACTTACACACAGATATTTTCCGATAACACTCTTACCATAAAAATAATAAGAAGTAACATAGTAAAATTGCAAAATTCATCAATACTTTAAGTCATATATATAACATAAATGTAGTAGTTTCTAGCAAAACTTTACATAATAGAATTACAAATATAATCAATACTTTAAATCTTATATAAAATACTAGTATTTCATATGCGCGATGCGCAAAAATATATGCCCAATATTAATATTTAATGTTAAAATCTTAGTGTTATATATATATATATATATATATATATATATATATATATATATATATATATATATCTAAAAACATAATAAGCTTCAATCCAGGTTATGTCCCTGGTTTTATGTCCGTTTTTTCTGTTAACTTTTTTTGTACCTTATGCTATAATTGTTGTACTACATAATTATTTGGACAAAAATATCCCTGCCGTTATAACTTCTGTTATCTTTCACATTATTATTACCATGCACATGCATACACAATAATTTTTTCTTACATCCTTCAATGGTAAGTTTTAATTCATTTAGGTTTTAATTAAAATGCTACCATAGTTATATATAGTAATATAGTAATTTATCATTCTATAATTTTTACCTCAAAAATATTAATATGAATTATACAATTATATATATATATATATATATATATTGCTATAAAAATTGTACTACATAATTTTTTGGACAAAAATATCCCTGCCGTTATAACTTCTGTTATCTTTCCACACTATTATTACTATGTACATGCATACACAATAATTTTTTCTTACATCCTTCAATGGTAAGTTTTAATTCATTTAGGTTTTAATTAAAATGCTACCGTAGTTATATATAGTAATATAGTAATTTATCATTCTATAATTTTTACCTCAAAAATATTAATATGAATTATACAATTATATATACATATATATATATATATATATATATATATATATATATATATATATATATATATATACACACACACACACACACACACACACAATTATTTTTTTTAAAAAATAATATAACTAAGATTTTAATATTTAATTTTAATATAGCATATGTTCGCGATGCGCAAAAATATATGCCCAATATTAATATTTAATGTTAAAATCTTAGTGTTATATATATATATATATATATATATATATATATATATATATATATATATATATATATATATATATATATATAATTGTAGAATTGTAGAATTCATATTAATATTAATAAAGAATTATAGAAATGATATAGTACTAAATATAACTATGGTAACATTTAATTAAATCTAAATAAAATTAAACTTACCAATTGAAGAATGTAAGAAAAAGATATTGTGTATGCATGTGCATGGTAATAATAATGTGAAAGATAACAGAAGTTATAACGGCAGGGATATTTTTGTCCAAATAATTATGTAGTACAACAATTATAGCATAAGGTACAAAAAAAGTTAACAGAAAAAACGGACATAAAACCAGGGACATAACCTGGATTGAAGCTTATTATGTTTTTAGATATTTTAAAACATAAATATAATGCACATTTTGTAGGGAATAAAACAATAACATAACAGAATTGCATGTACCATCAATACTTCAAGACTTATATATATATATATATATATATATATATATATATATGTATATGTATATGTATGTATATGTATATATATACACTTTGTAACATAAATTAATACTTTATAGGAAAACTATAAAGTGTTATTACATAGCAGAATTGCAAATGTAATATTTTATAGAATAAATGTAATACTTTATAGCAAAACTATAATAAACAGTTTGCATAAAATATTACTAAATCTATATACTAATATACCATAAGATCCAAAATTTTCATGACTCAACACGTTTCACGGATAGAAATTCGTGAGTCGGTTTTAGATTCGTGAGTCGGTCTCACACGAGAACTTGCCATGCCATGTTATAATAGTGGATGATTAAAAGTAAAATTAGCTTTAAAAAAACTACATTTATTTATCATTTCTCTATGATCTAATTTTCAGTTTACATAATTAGGGTCAACCCTAGGCCCTAGCTGCTGATAATTTACATAATCAATTTCATTCAGTCTCACACAACATAACATCTGCTCTGGCAATTCTTCAGATTTGTTACCCTGTTTCATTTCATTCACACTTTGATCAGCAAAGAATGACAGAAGCAATGGTTTCAATTGCATTGCAAAAAATGAACATAAAAGCTAAAGCTTGCCTGAATTGTGAGCCCAAAATCCAAGATGCAAAGCTTTAGCCTATCTAAGAATGCTTCAAATCCCTTCCTAGAGATGTAACTGAATCTGTGCATATCTAAATCGATCTCGAAATAGTTCTCTCCCTGCACCCAAAAAAAGGATCAAATTCAACATGATGTAATGGTATAAACCGTAAATCTTCTCCCGAATACTGCCTACTGAACCAGTGAGTTAAGTCTGTGCGGACAATCGGGTTGTGAATAATATCGTGAGTAGAGATTTGGATATGGCTTACTGTGTAGAACTCGTGCTGAGGCCGCGAAAGGACAGGCTTTTCATTGTAGGCATGCATGAGCTTCCTCTCTGCTGCACTCAATGGCAGATGTTCCACGTTTGCTACACGACCTAATATCTTCAACCGTTCCCGAAAGGGCACAGTATTGTCTACAGGAAACGCCTTCACCTTTTCCGTGTCATTCTCCATTAGGCGCTGTTGTTTCAAATAGCGAAAAGAAAAGCGCACGACATGTAAGTGCAGTAACAGCTGAAAGCCGCATAGAAATCACGATCGTAGATATAAAATTAGGTTTGCCACAAAATACGATGCTAAGTAATAGGACTAAAGTATAGCCCAAACTTACTCTTATACTCTCTTGAAAATGCGATGGAAGTTCTTTAGCATAAGTTTCGGAAAGCTTGAAATACAACACGAAACTGATTCCTTCGCCATCGGTTTCGTTTTGAAAAATCGTGGCTGGATACAGCGGTACCTATTAAATGAAAATATTGTCTGAATAGGAAAGCTTAAAATATCTGAAAAAGACAGCCCAGAAAGTCACCGTAGTGTAGTACATGAAATAAGCGATACCTGAATATTCACGACAAGAATAGGTGGAAGCCTCCCAGAAGATTCTATAACCGGAAGTTCCACAAGCTGAGATATATGATTTATTTTCCTAGGACATAAAAATACATCAACGCCAAAGGGGTAATAAGCTGCGTTTTTGGGAGCAAAATCCTTCTTTTTATCCCTGCAACAGAATATAGATAAATGTCGAAAATGGAATCGCAAAGCAAGACAGGCATAAATGGTATTACTAGGGAGCGGAGATTGCTTACCGAAAATAGTTCTCCCCTCGAACTTTGAAAGTAGCCGCTTCAATGCGTGACCAACTGTCTGACACTCGCTTTTCTAAGGGACAAAATGGCACTTGGGACCCGGCTATTGGTCTTTGCAGAAGTGACTTCGATGAAACTGCACCATACAATAAATATAATCGGTTCAATTTTCGTTCTCTAACCATTTCAGTAACAGAGGTAAGTAAGTCAGAGTTTCAAATCATAATCCTCCAAAAGAGAACTCACGTAAAATTGCATTAGAATTTCCTTCTTTCCATTTGAAGGACAGTTTTAACGCATTCTTTTTCCTTGAATTTGGAGGGCTGGAGCTGAAGGATCTTCTCTTCTCGACATGGGGGATAGCAGATGCGAGACAGGGCAAACAGTTGTTTGGGAGAATTCCACAATTGTTTAACAAATCTTCATCCCTGCCACTGCATTCATCTATGCAGGGAGATATTTCATCAAGGAACACCGGCTTCACCTCAGAATCTTTCGGTGAATTCTCTGGTTTATGCGCATGTTCGGCTTCAGAGCCGCTGAGAGAGTGAACATCTGTTCAAGGTCTCATATGATAAGTAACATCCTTCAGACTATGATTGGGGGCGGTGTTAAGATCAAACGCTTACCACTACGCCAAAAGCTATAGCTCGTGACGAAAGCGCAACTTTATTTCTTTATATCGCCACATTTTCAAGAGGCAATGTGCTGGACTTGGCCCTTCATGCCTCCGTCCAACAATCCCCTAGCCACCTAGTGTTGTTGGACTTAGCCCTTCAGGCCTCCGCCCAACAATCCCCTTAGCCACGTAGTACTGGATTTGGCCCTTCAGGCCTCCGCCCAACAACCCCCCTAGCCACATAGTGCTAGATTTGGCGCCTCTGTCCAACAATCCCCTCAGCCACCTAGTGCTGGACTTCGACCCTTCAGGCCTCCGCCCAACAATCCCCTAGCCACGTAGCGCTGGATTTGGCCCTTCAAGCCTCTGTCCAACAATCCCCTCAGCCACCTAGTGCTACCTAGTGCTGGACTTCGACCCTTTAGGCCTCCGCCCAACAATCCCCCTAGCCACCTAGTGCTGGACTTGGCCCTTCAAGCCTTCGTCCAACAATCCCCTTAGCCACCTAGTGCTGGACTTGGCCCTTCACTGGCCTCCGCCCAACAATCCCTAGCCACCTGGTCCTAGACTTGGCCCTTCACAGGCCTCCGTCCAATAGGTGGGAGGGTAAAACTAGAGGATCAATACTTGTATAGTTGTATGTATCTCGGAAAACATACCATCAGTTACACTCTGGAATTCTTCATCACTGCAGTCAGATTCAAACACTGCAGCAGAATCAAACCATGTTTCCTCAGCACTTCCTGATATCAGCATCATCACATACAACAAGGGGCTTAGTTGGGAACCCAGCATTATTCATCTTTCAGGTGCAGACTAACACAAATACACAAACAAATGATTGCTGCAATTGGAGAATAACATAGTCCCAGAAACAGTAAACACACTAAAGGACCACTGGGAAGGTCCATCAAGTGATCTTCTGAACTACTGTAGTTTATTAACTTGATCCCATCTAGGCAAGAATTCAAGGAATTAAGGCAAAAAAGTATACAAATTCCTTGGTTCTTTTACTTTACCCCACATTATTAGCATAAATATTCAGAAGGGGAAACTGTTTATCCAAACACATCTCACCAATAATGCAGCTCAGCTCTCTAACCTTTCAACTTTTTCAATTGTCTTCCACAACCCTTAAACTCAGCTAAAACCACTCCAAAGAAAAGCAAACCTCAAAAACAAAAAACACAAATTTTGTTTTCTTAACTTCACTAACGCTTGGATCAAACACATTAACAAGAACACTACACACACAAACAAACATAATAATGATAATATACATAAACAGAACACAAACCATGGATTGTGGGATTGGTGAAAGATGGATTCTTGACAGCTTTATCCAACGATGGATCAGAAGAATGAAAAGAGACCCTCTTCTTGATACCAGATTTCCATCTCTTCCCACACTTCTTCTTTCTCTCACCTCCAAATCTACCCGGCCTTGACATGCATCCCCCCATCTCCCCACCCACCCACCCACCCCTAATTTCAGAGTCACTAAACAAAATGGGTAATATAATTTTTCAAGAAAACCCCAAAATTCAAAGAATATAACAATCCCAGGAGAAAGAGAAGAGAGCTGATCAAGCCCTTCTCCTCCTGGTGGAAACAGAAAGATAAAAATCGAATCTTTAGAAGGAAACGTGAAAGGGAAGAGAACCCATTTATATAAGAAAGAAACTACAATAATATATGTGTATCTACTTTTGTGATTTTCTGAGCTAAGTTCGATGGAAACAACCACTATACATTTCTGGGAAACAGAGGATAAAGTCAAATATATGTATTGTGCGAGAGAGAAAGTGACCATGTATATAAATAAACAAAGGGAATTGAGATTTGAGAAATAAATAAAATTGTTTTTCTTATAAAAATATTAATAATTTTTTTTTTTTAATGCAATACAAAGCGTAATGATGATACAGCTCGGCCTGTCCACCATGTATAATGGAAGACGCAAATCGGTGACGGCCGTTGGGGGTATCTGTTCCGGTGAACGATGTGGGCCCACTGCCGCTGCCACGTGGCGGATGCTTACAACACCAGGACGCAAGAAAATATTGAGTCCTATGATCCTATCTATTTACCAAACATTTCCAAATTAGAACCTAATTTTAATATTTCAAAAAATGAACCTAATTTTAATTCTTATATTTATCAAATAAGAAACTTCTTGACGTGCTAATCTATAATTACTTCATAATTTTTTTTTGGTGTGTTTTATCAAATATTATTTTATGAAATAAGTAGTATAAATATAAATTTTATCCTGTTTGGTAAAATAGTTCGCTTATCAGTCAATTTTGATTTATTTGACCACTATTAGCTATTTTACTTAGTTAAACAATCAATTTGATTAATTAGCATTTTGCAACAACTTATTGCTTCAAAATGCTAAAATTCAAAAAGTTGCTCAAAGTAGTTTTTTCAAGAGTAAATACCCAAAATGGTCCCTCGACTTTAGCTAAATTCACAAATTGGTCCTCGACTTTTAATTTTAACCAATTAAGTCCTTAACTTTGCAATTTTAACACGATTTGGTCCTTCGTCTATTTGACCGTTTGTTGACTGTGATTTTTTAGGATATATATGTAATTTCATGGTCCATCGCCAATTTTTTAAGGTTCCGGTTGCATTTCCAGACCGCACTGTTACATTTGAATCCATTGTCGAAAGCAATCTGCCAAATCCTGTCGTCTTTCTTCATCCTCCCTTTGGATTCAATGTAGTTGAGTTTGTACAGAGCGAAGAAAACGACGTGTTTCCGAATAGGTGCAGCGTCATCCTGGAGGCCTCCATGTGCTCCCACGAGAGCTGCAGGTTCTTCTAGAGACCGTCGATGACGGCGCGGCCGCCGGCGTTGATGCAGAAGTGTTCGAAGGCCTGTTTGAAGTCGGACACGATTGTTTGTGGCGTTGGACCTGATGAAGATTGCAAATTGAGTTGTAGCGCTGGCAATGATGAATTATGAGAAGGTGTTTGGGCGGTGGATTGTGTCGTGGCAGTATGCGAAGGTGTTTGGGCAGTGGAGTGTGTCATGGCAGTAGATGAGGGCGGCTGGGCAGTGGCTTGTAGCTGGGAGATAGACTGTGTCACGGCAGCGGATGAGGACGGACGGCGATGAAATTACATATATATCCTCAAAGATCACGGTCAACAAACGGTCAAATAGACGGAGGACCAAATCGTGTTAAAATTGCAATGCTAAGGACTTAATTGGTTAAAATTGAAAGTCGAGGACCAATTTGTGAATTTAGCTATAGTTGAGGGACCATTTTGGGTATTTACTCTTTTTTCAATATGCTTTTTGAGAAAGTCATTTTGTATGTAATCAGTTAACCGCTAACAACTAATTTACCAAATATTTTTCTACAATAAACTAATACTATTGATAGGAATATACCTACCGCACCCAGTGCGTTACGGTCGGTGCGATGGTCGGTCATGCACCGTGTTGCCACGTTAATCTCGGACCGACTGTCGCTGACCGAAATCGATCAGACTGCCTCGTCCCGACTGCCTTGGAACCGATCGTCAGGGTTGTGGTGAAGCGCGTGTCAGGAAGCTAGTACCACGTGTCGCGGGCTCCGGGGTACTGCCCAGTGCATGTGAGCCAGGTGCCCTCCATGCCGGAGGGTCGGGCCGTGTTTCCTTGTCTCCCCTATAAATACCCGCATTTATGAAGATGAAGGGACTTTTGACCTACTTGACACCTGGGCCACTTGATCGGAGACCCCCGACCCACTGTCGTAGGATCCCGAGCCCAAGTGCCCGTATTCAGTACTCTACATACACGTCCGTATTTATATTATCAACTATCAACTAGTCAAACACACTAACTCAATCAGCTAACAACCATTTAACAAACACTCCCGTAATTTTTTGGGAATTTTTGTTAGGCCAATTGGGAGAGAAGAGGGAGCAAAATGAGAGAAAAAGAAAAAAAAAAAAAACCATTTTAACAAAAAATGGATCATTTTACGCGTCATGCTGGGTGCGACAGTGCACGAAACGTGCATCTTGAGCGTTATTTTCCTATTGACTATGGCCCACAAAAAATTTAAATTTGTAAGACAAAAAGAAAAAACTCTATAAAAATTTCACCCCATCAATGTAAAAACGCTATCTTAATTTTTTCTTCGGTAAAAACTCCACAAAGAATAACTAATGTGGATGCTCTAAGTGGTTAGATTAGCTAGTATCCATTCTAAAATGTTATTTTTTACAAGCGTGTCATATAATATTTTTCATCTATTTTTTGAATTCCAATCACACGTCGATAAATTATTTTAATTATTCTATAAATATAAAAACATCCATTTTTAGACAGGAAAAGATTATTAGTAATTATAAGTATTTTGATTTTGAAGTCTATGTATATTTATAGTATTTCGTGTAATGCTAAAAAATTGTTTTAAAAAATAAATAGTAAGATTTATAAGCGGAAAAAAAAAAATAAAGAAAAAAAGAAAAAGAAAGACCTCGTATTGTGGCAGTGCACGAACAAAATAGAAATGGGTACTTTTACTAAACAGAGTTCACACGTTAGGATTGTAACGTTTAGTACGGTTTCAGATGTCTGTCAGTGGCCACACCCCCCCCCCCACCCCCAACACCCCACCAATTTTTTTTTTTTTTGTTTTGTTTTGTTTTTTTTTTTTGTTTTTTGTTTTTTTGTTTTTGTTTTTTTGAAATAACGTTATTATTGTTGTTTCTTTTGTTTTTCCTATACAATTATACGGCCGTAGTATATTGTACTTTTTTTTTTTTTGCATTTGCGTGAAGGCTTGGGCACCTTTGGCTTTTCTCCTACCGTATTTTATGATTTTTTTAAATTTTTTTTTAAGAGCGTCTCCATCAATAATTTTTAGGAAGTTTATGAAATTATAAGGAGTCAATGCTTATGTAGAGGAGAGAGAAGAATTGAGAGTGTTACAGGGAGATATGGTTTTTAGCTCTGCAATGTGTCCCACGAAAATGAAATTGCTGTTGCAAATGTTGTGTGAAGCGAACTGAAGGCGCCCATGCACCCGATGGACACGTAATTCCATTGTTTCTTTTTTCTTCTTCTATCTATTTTATTTCTCTCATGTCTTATTTCCTAGTCACATCTGCAAAATCTCAGGTGAGAATAATTGTCCAAAAGAGAAATAAGAACCACCACAACCGTCCACGTGTCCATATCAACGAATTAGATGTAATTTAAAAAAAAAAACGACGCAGTGACTTTTTTTTAAATAACTCAAACTTTGGTGTGAGTAAACGTGTTATAAGTGCAAGTAGCTAGTGCACCTTTGCAAGTAAAATCACTTATAAGTGCACCTATTTTCACTTACAAGTGCAAGTACTTTTACCTAGTTAACATTCGTGCACCTAGACGCAACTACTTATAACTATAAATGCACTTAGTTATAACGTCATGTGCACTTACCTAGTATTGATACTCAATGTAAATTTTACTTGCATATGTAATACATTTTACATGCACTTGTAATACATTTTACTTGCACTTAGGTACACTATATGAAACTGCTACTTGCACTTGTAATACATTTTACTTGCACTTCAATGTTCAATTATTTACGAAAATGTCACCGCATTTTTTTAAAAAATCAATGTTTATCATCTATTAGCTAGATTTGGACACATGGACGAATGGCATGCATTCTCATTTCTTTCCAGGACAAAGCGTTCTCACCTGAACGCAGCCCTATATACATATATATATATATATATATATATATATATATATATATATATATATATATATATATATATATATATATTTATTTATTTATTTAGGATCATATGAGAACACTTGCTTAGGTGAGAACGTGAGAACAAATCGTGTGTATGTATTTAATATTTTTTAATGGCCTAGATTAGATTAAGTGTGTGCGAACGCAAATTAAATGTGTGCAAACGCGATTAAGTGCGTTTGCACGCATTTAATTCGCGATCGCACACACGTAATATAATCTAGACCATTAAATAATATTAGATGGATGCACACGATTTGTTCTCACGTTCTCACCTAAGCAAGTTCCAGTGCGGGTGAATGCTTCCCGTGTGGTTGTGCGCGTGATTAATGTGCGTAAGTTTTGTACTTAATGTGTGTGAGTCTTGTACTTAATGTGCATGAGTGTGTAATGTTTAATGTGCGTGAGTTTTGTACTTAATGTGCATGGCTCTTGTGCGTAACGTGCGTGAGTTTTGTGCTTAATGTGCGTGAGTGCGTCCACCCGCACCGCACGGGAAGCCTCAAATGCACCTGATCCCTTCCCTATATATATCGCGTTCAGGTGCGACTAAGTGCCCAGGAGAGAAATGCGAACCAATCACCGCGCGCCACGTGTCAGCATTCATTGATCGGGTGCACCTACTTTCACTTATAAGTACACCTACTTTCGCCTGCAAGTGCATGTAGTTTTTGCTTGCATTCATTGATCGGGTGCACCTACTTTCACCTATAAGTGCCCCTACTTTCGCCTGCAAGTGCATGTAATTTTGCCTTGTTAACATTCATTGATCTGAGTTCAGCGGGTAGTAATACCCCTGAAAACCACCCGCAAACATTCATGCACCTAGGTGCAACTACTTATAACTATTAACATTCATTAATCTGAGTTCAGCGGGTAGTAATACCCCTGAAAACCACCCGCAAACATTTATGCACCTAGGTGCAACTACATATAACTATAGATGTAACTAATTATAACTATAGGTGCAACTAGTTATAACTATAGGTGCACTTAGTATTGATGCTCAGCGTAAATTTTTACTTGCACATATAATACATTT